GAGATCCTTTAATTTCTTAAATACAGGTTCTGGATCCATATTGTTGCCCTTATAAAACTTTTTTACCAGACCTTTATCATTATAACAGCGACAACACATCGATCCTTTGACAATATTAATTGATAGGAAGCGTTCATTGCACATAGAACAAGATGAATTCTTGAGTTTGTTCATCTTTTTACAAAATTTTTGCAGAAGCATACTATCGAAATCTGAAAGTTGTTAAATATTATCTTGAAGATTCAGATGTTCATCTGGACACTTATCCTGACGATTCAGAGATTTTTTTCCCAAAATAAAAGACATGGGGGGTGTTCCCCGTATGGCTGCATTTGAATTGTTTTTGAGTGAAATTTTCATACTGTAATAATTATATTTCCGGATTATTTTGCTGGCATATAGAATCGCAATTTCGCGAATTTTCCACTACATGACGATCCGTAATTAAGTCATGTGCAACCAATAACTTACGTTTTTTTTGCATTTATGCAGGAGTTCCCGTGATCCGGAAATTTCACTCGAAAACAATTCAAATGCGGCTGCACGTATACTGTACAAATATGTATGAGAACACACCCCCATGTCTTTTATTTTGGGAAAAAAATCTCTGCTGTTATTAGGATGGGGGTAAATAAAAGAATATTCCATTTAGAAAAATATTAGTTCGTCAGCTCATTATGAAATCAATTGGATTCGACACATTTTATTTTTAATTCGAAGACATTATTAGCAAACAATATGATTTTAATCGAAATAAAATAACCGACTAAATATTATGGATAATTAAATAAATTCCAAATGTTAAAAATAAAAAAATATTCTTTCTTTCTCGTAGAACAAATTTCATCCCAAACACAGTGTATGTAACGATTTCGGCTAAAACAACTCTTGCAAAAGAATATTAATTCCTTTCTTTATAATGTTCTGAATTAAATCCGACGACTCGTCTATATATACCGTAGTTTCTATCACAATAGTTTTCAATCCATTGTACACAGAATGGCGCTCAATTACCTTAAGGTATTCATAAGAATAACCGTAAGGATCCTTAATACCTAAAGTCCTTAATGTGTTGAATGATAAATCACTATAGTCTAGTAAAAATTTTCCGAGAAACTCCGGTCTAAAATGGCAACAAAGATATATTTCTTCTAAGCTAGAAGGAACACATTTTGCCAAAAAATTTAGTGATCCGATTGAAACACGGCAAGAATTAATGACTAATTGGCTTATCCTGGACCCTTTTAAATAATCCATAAACATGCTGTAGTCTTGTAACTTGTAACATAACGTGAATTTGGATATGTTTGGACAGAATTGAGACAGTGACATTACCACCTTTTCGGTTATCTTGTCAATGTACAAGTTCAACAAATTTTTGCCTGCTTTTTCGATGAGTGTAGCTAAAAGCGTATCATCGAAGTAATGGGTATCAAACGTTAAACTCTTGAGTTGTATCGGTGATTTCATAAACATTTCACAGTTGCCCTTCGTAATCCAAATGCAATTATGTAGCTCCATGGTTTCTAACTTTGTAAACTTTGCAATGCTATTCAGACTAATGATTGAGAAATTGACGAATTGTAAATTAAGTGAAGTTAAAGATTCCTTCTGAGAATCCAAATGACTCATAAATCTTCTTTGATAGTCTATTCCATGAATTTCCATTGAAAAATACTTTAAATTAGATTGTGCGGTTATGATGTCAGCAAATGAGTTCACGGTTCTAGGATCTATACTGCATGTTGTTTCAAACTTATATTCTAGCCTTTCAAGGTTGGTAAACAATTTTGACGAATTTCTTAATAACTCCTTAAGATATGGACCTTGCCTAATATTTATTGTCAAATTGCGTAATTGTGAGAATATGGGTTGATAGGAAAAAAACGAAATGACGTTTAATATAACGTAAGTAAATTTTTCGTCATAATAATCGAGGATTTCAATCTCTCTTAAACAACCAGTTCTCAAGACTAATTGAAAAATGGCAGTCATGATTCTTCCGAGCCTTTCGATGCGTATCTTTGTAAATAGATTAGCAGACTTATCGCGTCTTTTCCAACCTTCTACTATTATTTTTGCGATGTCTGCAAATGAAAATTTTTCTAAATACGATGAATACTGAAACAGCGGTTGCGAGTGATTATATCGTCTATCATATTGGTGTAGGGTTTCCTTTTCAACTTCATTTAGCGTTGCAATATAAGTTATGCGTAATAAGTGCCAGTTATTTTCGATACGATTTTCTCCAGGTCGAGAAGAGCTGCTCCTCCAATAGTGAAAAGGATTACGCCATAATATAGGAACTACTAATTTGCACCAATAACGACTGACGAGTAAGCACTTATAAAGTGTTGAATAATTATCTTCGAAATATAAAAATATCTCTAGAATACATTCGCATGGAAGATCCTCAAAAGAATTCATATTTTCTTCAGTATAAAATTGAGTTGAAAGTCTACAGCATGTACTTAGGTTGTCGGATTGCTGCACAATATTTCTGATCTCGTGATCGTTGCAATGTACAATACAGTGCTATGAGATACTGTATGTACATTATACGTAATTGTCCTTTATACTGTTGTGAGAGTGGGATTTACTTGCGAGGCGTTCGATTTGACCGAGATAAGTCTTTCTTTATTAAATTACTTTAGTCCCACTATAAGCGCGTCTCCCTTTTTTACAAGAATAAATGCTGCCATTTTATATTTTTTTCAGAGAAATTTAAAGAACAATTTAGAAACATAACGAAAGGTAAGGTAATTTCTACTTTTTTCTGGCGATATTATCTAATATAACATTAATTACATCATTATTATTTCAGCATTAGCGCCTGTTTCATTTCCATTTTCTCTACGCGATTCCTGGGGTCGATCGTCGGTCAAGTGACCCGGATCGCGTTACCACACTGTATAAAATAACAAATTGTCAGTTACAGTATATTCACTTTGATTAAATTGATATCTTGCGTTAATTTTTTTTAATGTGCATTAAGAAATTATTGAATTCATAAGGTTTAATATAAATAATCGATAATAAAAGGGATAAGGATTATATTGATAATTATAAAGCGTGCAGCTTTTAATACAATCAATATACTGTATATACTGTATATATACTGTATGTAGGCAAGACTTCCTATTGCCCTGTCTTTCTCAAGGCTAGTGGAGATAATAGATTTGAACTGAATTTTCGGATCGCTTAAATAAACGAGTGTTTCAAAATTTGATTTCAAATGTTATCAAACCTATGCTTAAAGTTTTTCTCTTTGATTTTCTTTATATCAAAACCTTATATTTAATACTTAAACATTTGTCAACTTTCGTTCATTTAAATTCCAATGATTTTTTGTTATTATTAAAACGCACAATTATTATATACATTTATTTATAACTGACAGGTATAATAGAGATAGGTAGTATTTCTAATATATGTTTTTTATTTGGATTATATATAAAATATCAAAGTTTTTTATAGTTATTCGAGATATTAAATATTTTAAGAATTTATTACCCAAAACTAACAATATTACTAGTGAAGCACTTTAAATTAAATAAATTAAAGTTCTAAAAATACAAATACAGTAATTATTAAAGGAATTTATAAATTAATACATAATAAAAATATAATTTATAAAAATAAGTTTAATATAAAAAAGTAAGGTTTAATAAAATATTTAAATTAATCTAATTATAGATTTAAAAAAACCATATACAAATAATAATGATTTTTTTTTATAATTAACCATCCCTATGATATATAAATAATAATAATAGTGTTATTATAAATAAAAATACAATAAATAACAAATTATTAAAAATTTTATAAATTCAAGATATGAATATTCAAACACAAATAAAATTTAACTTTTAATATTTGATATATTATTTGTTAAAATATTGGTTGTAAAACAAAATAAATGTCAAAGTTTTAATTATAAAAATAAAATAATTAACAAATACATAATATATAAAAAACCAGACTATAATAAATATAAATTAATTTGTTTTTAAATATATAATTTCATACTTTATAAAAAACTATAAATTATATAAATTATATAAAAAAGTGATATTGTATAAAAATAAAAATAAATTTATATTAAAAAACTTCTTTTTACTTATTTTTACTTTGTCAAAAAAAATTTTTTTAAAGTTTATTTTTCTTTTATCTTTTCTTCTTTATTAACAAATGCAAATAAATAAATAAATGTAAGTTACAAATATACTAATATCATACAAGAATTATATAACCAACTGACAATATGTATTTAAAAATTTTTTTTTGTTTAGAAAAATATAAGCAAACTAAAACTTGTGTATAACAAAAATTTGAAAAAAAAACAGAAAATATTAAATTTTTTTATAAAAGTTTATATATCTAATAATTATAAACAAATAATTATTTAATATTTTTTTTATTCTTTTTATTCTTATTTTTCTTAATAAATTTTTTTCTTAAAATTTTTATTATAATATTTTATTATAGTTTTAAATGTTCTAAAAACAGTTTTTTATTATTAAAAAAATCAGCAGTGCAGATGCTAATAATTAATATTTACAAAAATCTTAAGTATATTATAAAATTCAAATAATTATATTAATAAACAAATATTTATTTTTGCAATAATCTCATTATTTTAAATAGGTGTTAATTATTTAGGACAATTTTCATTAATCCATTCACTTGATGTGAATTTAAATAAATAGTTTTTTTGTAATAAACTACAATTAATTTATATTTCATTATAAAGATTGTTAGTTAATATTATAACAATAAACTTGTTGTTTAATAAAGTTTACATTTAATGTCTGTTTGTAATAATATATATATATTTAGTATTATTTTAGTATTGACATAAATTACTGAAATATGGTATGTTGATATTAAATTTTAGGTTTTTTATTCACCTTCAGAATAATTACAGTATACAATATATTTATATAATTACATATATAGCTCTATATAATAAATTATCCAAATATAAAGTTTATATAAATGTTGTATATAATGAAAGCTTTTTATTCTATTCTAAATTACCACGTTAATACTATATTTACTGAATATAATACAAGCAACTATACTAAAAAAAAAAAAACTTGACACTGTAAACTAATTTTTTATAATCGTATTTTTTAGACTGTTTCTTTGTCATCCCTAGTGTCTTCAAGTGTATCTTTCTCTATATCTATTTCCATCATTGAGCAAAAAATCTTTTCCAACAACAAAAAACAATTGTCTTCCATAGCTATTCATCAAGAATAAA